GGTCTTGGTGAAACCACATTCTGTTTCCAATCTAAAATACATACTTTCAATTCCTTTGTTTTGTTATTCTTCTAAGCACTCTCAGAAGCTTATTCTATTACAATTTAAAAATGTTCCTTTACTTTATAAATATAGGTGGACAAATAGATATTTACATTTGCAGGGCATCATGCGATGAGGAGAGATATTGCTTCTGCTCTCCTCAAGCATACAGATTAACACACAAAGGCAGAACCTATGAAGAGGTCACAGATACAATACAGCTAGATTTAGGGAACTTCATGTATGGCTGATGTAGACTATCAAGCTGTCCAAGGAGAAGCCAGACGGGCATATATCCCTGAGGTCTTTATGTTACTGGTTTTACAGAATGATATTTACCCCAGAAACTATGGACTAAAGAGACAGCAAAAAGTCAGCAGGGCAATTCAGTAATATATTCAAAAAGTGATGGGGAGTCAGTGAGCATTGCATCCTAAAATACATTTCAAAAGGCTGACTGATGTCTCAGTCTCCAACCTCTCCAACTCTCTATTGCTCATCATTTTCTGCTTCCATTTACTAATTTCCTAAAATGGTCTACTCATTGAAAATATAACCTTTGCATTTACTTTCCAGAGAAAACAGAGACTGTTAGGAAGGCAAATTTCCGGTTGTTTGCCACATTTTTACCTCCCACCTCAGTGGAAGGGGCACTCGTTTCCCTCTTCACAGTTAATTCCTCTAGCAACATTCATAATTCCCATCTCTTCAAAAAAATGTGCTTCCCTTTGGTTTTTGTATCTTTAAATTTACACTTTTTATTGACTCATATTCCTCTTAAAATAAGCCCTTTGCAACCACACACCTATATATCACTTCTTTCTCACCCCCAAGATTTATGAGAGTAGGCTTCATTAAAGGAATCCTTTTCCTTGCCTCCTATTAGTTGCACAATATAATTAGCTTTCTAGAGCCACAACGTTATTGAATCATTTTATCAAGTTCGATGGTTATATTCATAAGTATCTTTTTATTTTTCTCTTTAATTTCTCGGTATGATACGATGTTTATATTTCACTTTCTTCTTTGTAGAAATAAATGAAGTACATATTTTACTGATTTTTAATAAACTTTGGTTATATCCATTAGCCTCATATGAAGTTGAATTTCTTTGCAAAAACATTAGAAATTCAGCTGACTGATCAAGAATCAAAATGCCTACTTGTAACTATAGGATTGCTAAATAATCTTTTATGATTGTCAATAGCCAGATAGTATATACATACATACAGATATTATATACATATACATATAAATTCTATAAGGACAACATATTATGGCTTTCATTAATTTTTTCTTCAATTAGTTTTGATGAAACATTTAACCAAAAATAAATTATCCCAGTGTGGCAGACTAGATGCTTCCCCAATGATTTCAACCTCTTAGTATTAACATGCTTGCATAATTTTCTCCTCAACTAAGAGATGGAATTACCAACTCAGTTATGATCAACAAAATAAAGTAGAAGTTATAGTTTGTCATTTCAGAGATTAGGTTAAAGTCTTGGGTATATGTTTTCTCTCTCTTGTGGATTGCTTGCTTTGGAGGAAGCCTGCAGCCATGTCATGAGACAATTCTGGCTGCCATGTCAACATGAGAAGGAATTGAGAGGGACCTCTGACCAAAAGCCAACAAGAAATCAATATCTATAGTCCAACACTGGTGAAGAAATGAGGCCTGCCAAAAATTAGGTGAGTGGGCTTCGAAGTGTATCCTCCCCAAGTCAAGTCTTCAAATTAGACTGCAGATTTGCCTGGTAGCTTGTCTGTCTGTTGCTTTAAGTCACAAAATTTTGGAGAAATTTGTTACACAGAAATAAATAAGTAATACAAAATATTTGACTTTATTTCAGAGAGGAATCTCTTTTCTAAGTAACATATAACTGAACATCCATTTTTATATTATTAAAAAAAATGTGACTCTTCTCAATGGTATACAGTAATCTATTTATCACATTTAAACAGAAAGAATTATTTACGTTTACCCAAGTAGCAGCTACAATTAGGTTATTAGAAATCCAGGACAAATCATTTGTGAATCTGGATTTCCAAAAGAATTTATCAAACTGATAATTTAATTGGTAAAACCAGTGACTATAAATGCCCCAGGTTTACAGATGAATGAGTGTCAGAAAAATATTTATAAAAAGGCAAGGTTTCAGTGACAGGCAGCATCTCCCTAATGAAGTCACTCATCTAGTCCTAATTAATTAGTCAATATCTGAAACAGATATTTTTGCCTAGATTTTAGTAAAGAGCATGATTATATCCCAATGAAAGGGACCTGAGTGATATGATACCTTTAACCTTCAACCATCTGAAACAGAGAAATGGCACAGGGTTCAAAGTGGTAAATGAGAATAGGAAGAAAGGAAGACCTGCCTTTTCCCTGAAACAATCATAATAAAACTAGCAAAAGTCAAGTGGACATCCACTGACAATAAACAGGATAAGAATAACACCTGTGTTAAAAATATATTAAAATGACCTTGGGACTCAGTATAAATATGTAAAAATTTTGAGAGGAAGCCAACTTCATACATAAAGTAAGTACATATTTTAGTTATTAAAAGAATTAAAAATATTGACCTTGGAATTATTTACTTAAAAAGAAACAAAATATTCCCATTTCAAGGTAAATTAGAAGAGAAAGAGTTCATGAACATAATCAAAATAGAGAGTAAGTAAAATATACAACTAAAGGGAAAAATTGAGCTAATCTTTCTTTTGTGATAAGATAGTTATCTCACAATAAATAAGATAGTTTGGCAATTGTGTGGAGATTTTTTTTTTTTCATGGTTAAGGCCACAGTGAACCAATGACTGTTCTCATGGCTTTCTAACTGCTTTTCCAGTTTATGTTCTGTTTCTTGATGATTTTACCCACTCCTATAAGGTTTATTTTCTCAAATCAAAGATCTCATCATGCTTATTGTCTATACAAAATCTGTAATATCTCCCCCTGACTACTAAATTAGCTAAGCTTTTATAACACTCCAGCAAGTCTCCCTGTAGAGTGGTGAAGCAGGAAAACTCTGTGTCCACCTTCTTAGATTGATTTTATGGCTTTACGACTTATTGGCTCAGTTTGATGGGCCTGGTAATTAAAATTTTCTGTATTTCAGTTTTACTATCTATGAAACAATGATTTTAATAAGCACAAATGTTTATTGTGAAAATTAAAAAAAATAATTCATGATGTGCTAGAAATAGTATTTTTGTCCACAATGAGTACTTTAACTATTGCTTTATTATTACTATTATTGCTACTTGAGAT